CCACTAAGAAGAATATATGCAGTGTATTATTTGTTGAAACTGTACTTTTGATTTGATTTGAAACTGTCTCATTGCTATGTGTTTATCAATAAAACTTTGAAAAGAAAAATAAAACAAATACAGCTTTTAAAAAAAAATAGATCTTAAATATGAAAGTTTAAAGTACTTCATTTGGAATGATTCTGACAGTAATTCAAAGTCCTGGATCCTCTGATAAAATCAAAATAAGATGAACATCATTATCAGTTTCCGTTTAAAGTATATTTTGTCTTTCCTTTTCAAACAATCATGCGTAAAATTCAAATCACAAAATAAACTTGTCTTTATTTTATCAATTTAAAAAAATTTTACTAAAAATTAATTAGTATATGTAAATCATGGTTAACAATAATTATGTATCTTAGATATTTTAGAAATCTTATCTAAGTAAATTAACTTTAAAATTTCACATTTCCAAATGAGTGAATTACTTAATGTCCAATATGGCCAATCATTTAATTGATCATGACAAGTACACTAAAACCTAGTCCTAAATTAATGCTAAACTTTAATGAAAATTAAAACTTCAAGTAGTCATCAAATACACAGCACATTATTCACTTGAAGGAAGAAAACAAAGAATACGTTTTGCTTATATATTCAACTGCTTTCCCACATTTTATTTTGTAAAGATAATCTGATATGCTCCGAAGAGTCTTGTAAAACAATAATTTTCCCTCCTCATATAAAACCAAGCAGAGCTTTACTCACCTCTATGCATGACTCTTCGAGAATGCATATGTTCCAATGCACTGCAAAGCTGAACAAAGTACTTCCAAACAGTTCTTTCAGGAATTAGCCTCTTCTGTTTTTTAAAATGCTTTTCAAAAATTAAAAATAATTATGAGAAAAAAAATAATTATGAGAACTAAAGGCTTAATACTAAGATTCTGATATGTAAAACAAGCCAGAAATGCATCTGCTTTAATTTACCTGTTATAAACAAAGAAAATGAAGTTTTATATTAAAATTTTATCTGACATAATAGCTTAAATTTCTTTGCATTATACGTAAGGTGAGCACAAAGCATGGAAACCTTCATCTTTCTAATATACAACTGTTTCAAAAATACTTAGAAGATAAAATGTCTTAAAAGGAAGTTATCCCATTTCATTTTAAGAAAAGCTAGAACTAAAAAGGTTAGATATCTGAAAGTAGTTATATTCATCAAAAGATAATTTTCTTGGCACAATATTTCAACAATGGAATTCCTTTTAAACAATGAACCACCTTGGTGATTTGAAATACCACAATTTATTAAAAATTAAATGAAAGGGATTTATGTTAACAAGGTTTTCATAAATATTTCTCCTATGCAATGTAAGGCAAACCTGAACATTGTTTTAAATGAATTATACTTCATGGAAGTAGAGCAGAATCTTTTAGAAAACTGGGGCAAAAAGCTGGGTGTACCACGAGGTACTTAACAGAAGACTGTGGCACTAAAGAGGGCAGGTACTTAAATAACTTGCAAAGTCCGAAAGTAGATATTTATGTCCATTTTTCTATATTAAAGTTGCTAGAAAACTAATACACTCAAGAATAAAGTTCTTTGCTTCATCAGACTCACTACAAAAAAATCATTTTCAAAAACCAAAAATGTAATTGATCTCTTATTTAACAATATTTACAAGTAACCAAAATGAAGACATAACACATTTAAGCAGGTTTTCATAAATTTTCTACTAACTTTAACTTTTTAAAGTGTATATACTTAACAGAAGCCTAGCATGGTAGTACAGGCCTTGTAACATCAGCACTAGAAAGTCTGAGGTAGGAAGATCACTGAAGCCAGCCTGATCTACATACCAAGACCTTGTCTCAACTGCCCTACAAAAAATAAATGGGATAAAAAGTATATATAATCATAGATTCAAATTATAAATTTCATCTTCAAGCTTCACATTTTGAAAAGTCCAACTACTTTTTTGTTTGCTGAGTACAAAGATACTACTTGAAAAATTCAAAACTACTGTAATTTTTACACCTGTGACCAGTTGAGGGCAAGGCCAAAAAGGAACACAGTACAAGGAAATCTGCTGGTACCCCACTTTATAGTTAGCAAAATATATTTACTGTCTCATGTGCACTCAATATAACAAAAGCATAAATTTTAAGAAAAAGCTAGTAATTGTGGGTTAATCTTTACTGCAATATATTTATGGAAATGAATAAATTTCCATACCTATTTTAGCATTAATGTTAGCTCCTAAAAACCAAATAACAATTAGATGGGTCTTACATTTTGAAAACCTCTCATATCATGTTTCAATGTGAAACACTGAACTTTTTAATTGTGAACTGTGTCAACATCAGTTTACACTCAAAGGGGGCAATGCTGCAAAATCAGTTCTTTACACATAATTTTCTCTCAGACTTGGAATGAGTCCAAATAAAGTCAGTATACGTGCACTCCTCAATGCTACATTAGCATATCAGAGGACTGTTTGATGTCAACAGGAAGATTGGAACCAGGTTTCCTTTCATTCAAAGAAATATACTGTATCATTTAAGTACCAAACCATGAAAGAAAAATTATATGCTTTAATATAGACTATAAAATCCTCCTAATTATAATTAATTTGATAGTTTATTGTTAGAATAAAGCAAATTTAAGAGAAGGCATAACAAAAACAATTACTCAAATTGTATATGAGGAAGATACCAAGCCAAGACGACCTATTTTCATATTCTTCCTTGAGATTCTCAAATTAAACGTGATGACAATAAACTAGTATCAATACAATGCTGCCTAGACAGAATGGCCTGGCACGGTTTAAGCATTCAATTTAATAATGGGTCAATTAAAGCTAGTATTATGAATTTCATTCTGCCAATATTAATTAAAGATAATTTGATTATGTCACTGATATCTTTCAATTTTTTGGTCTGTTTAAACATGCTTTTTTTCCAAAAATGTCTGAAATACAAGGTTTTTTTTTTGTTTTTATGAGAAAACACAATGACAAAAACCTGTCTCTTCTGATGGTGGCACTGTTGGCTATCTCTTAAAAGACAATGAACTGCAAAAAAAAAAACAATAAAAACTTGAATTCTTTTTAATGTTGGTAAGATTTGTAGTAACTTCACAAAAAACTTTCATAATAGCTACTTGTTACCCCTAAAAATCCCTTAAAACTTTTTTCCAATAAGTATATATATTTAAATAGCACTACTATTCTGACTTTTTAAAAATGTATTTAGTACAGGGTCTACAGGGTCTCACTACAGAGGGGACTCGTAGTGATCCTCCTGTTTTCAGCCTCCCAAACATTGGGATTTGTGATCACAGAGGTGCGCTCCACCATGCCCTGACGCACCGCCATGCCCTGAATTGTCTCAGTGGCAGTCTCAGCATGCCCCAGGGGCAGGGCAGGCAGAACACACTGGGGATCAAACCCAGGTCCCTGTGTCTGCGTAATCAGGCGCTTTAATATGCTCAGCTCTCTGACCAGCCCAGCATTACTGTTCAAACCTCTGTTTTTGCCTGAGAAAAAGAGAGCCCTATATAAATAGCTCTGGATTTTTAAAAATCTAATACAAATATGTACAATAATTAAAAATGTATATACTTCTCATGCAGTAAGTATTTAAATAAAGCAAGAAATAATGTGAACAAAATTGGTAAAGGTGTATATCAATACTATATTCCTATACACCTTCATCATATTATGCTATGATATAGAATTATACCTTTCTATACTTCAATTTAAAAATGTTATATTTGTGGTCTGGCCAAAATTATGCTCAGGTACATGGATCACTTAGACATTTTTGTTTATTTTTTTTTTTAAGTGGACATATGTTTACTTTTAAAAATGTTCTGTTAATGTTATTCAAATTAACAATAAATACTATCCAAACAGAAAAATACAGCTTTAACAAGAAGTTTATCAATTTACATATGAAATTTATAGACAAAAAATCAGATTGCATATAAGTGAGAATATAGTATAGAGGGATTAACAACATTTCACTTAGGTGAAATTCAACATATACAGAAAAACACATCTGTCTCAACAAAAGGATCTCCGTTAATGTGAAAGAGACTGCCTTCCATTTAAACTGCTTCCATTCAATGATTTTAAGATAATAATACACCTTCACACTCAAAACTTCTTTAACCGGGGATTGAACTCAGGCCCTTTAAGTGCTTATTCTACTCACCTATCTCCCCAGCCCCTCAAAACATTTTTTACATCACTAAACATCCTTCTATAAATGCCTAAGACAAAATCCAATTATATGATGCATAATGAATGCCTAAATATTATATTCTTTAAACTCAACTTGGTAACATGATTTCTGACTAGACACTACAACTCCAAGTAGAACATGGACTGCTTATTTCTAATTCCTAAGTTTGGCAACACAGTATTCTTAAATTCTGGAATAGCTTCATGAAAATTACCAGTATAAATTCGTTTAAAACAAACAGAGAACGCTTTTGACTTAGGGGACCAAGAGACAGAGGAAGTAGGAAGGGCAAGGGTATGTAGAATATATCAGATGTATCGTGTACATGTACCAACTACCTACAGTGAATGTAATCATTATATGCCACAAACATGAGTTAAAAATAATCATAATGACAATGGGAAAATGGTATCTGAAGGTGGAGAGAGAGATTTGCTAGGGAGGAGAAGAGAAAAGGAACAAAGGTATGTTAAGTACATATATCTACTACCTTAGTTAAATCTAAACAGTATATACTGTAAACATGTTCTAAAATAAAATATCTGTGGTATGTAAGAACAAATTTCTGTGGTATATAAAAATATCCAAGTCAACAATAGTTACATTAACCTTCAGTAGAAAATTCTCAGATAAGACATCTAGAACCATCATAGTCAGTTTCATGGAAACAATCTCCATAGCCATGTGGGTCTTGCATTTGGCTCAATGCCCTCTTATTTTTACCTTGAAGATTCTTAACAAATTTTTTTTTTTTAAATTATTTATTTATTTTTATTTATTACATTTATTTATTGTGTGTGTGTGTGGCCAGCTCAGCCCACCAGGGGGCGGGGCTGGCTGGCATGTGGTGCTGGGGGATTGAACCGCGGTCCCCGTGCTTTGCCAAGCTTGTTTCAAGTAGGTGCTTTAGACCACTGAGCCATCTCTCCAGCCCCTTAACAAATTTTTAATAAAAGAATCTGCAATTATATAATTGGACCTTAGAAATTATACTGTACCAAGCATTCTTTAGAAATCTCCTATGGGTAAAAAAAGATAAAACACAAAAACAATAAATTTGATTTTGAGTGTAAAAAGTATTTGTGAAGAGAATTAGAGAAAACAATAATTACCTGAGAGGTAATGAAATTTTAAAAGAATTAGAATTACAGGTACCAGAGCCAGGCACAGTGGCACATGCCTATAATCTCAGTACTCTAAAAGTAAGGCTAAACTGAAAGCTAAGGATCGCTGTGAGTCTGAGGACAGTCTGTGCTACATATATGCCTCATAGTCACCTTTTAAATAATAGGCCTGCTAATGGAAGTTCAACAGTAATTGGCTTTGCAACCCTAAATAAGCCACTTAAATAGGGTGCGTCTGTCTCAGTTTCTCCACTGATTTGTAGATATCTATGAAGTCCTTACCACCTTTAAATATATAACATCTGGTGTTACGATATTAATTCCAAATAAAGCACGACTAATATCCGATTGGCACATTTTCACTTAAAAACACTGATTAGTTTACTGTTACACCCTTTCTTCTCATATCCAGTGAATAAAAACAAAGCAAAAAAAAATTTATTGGTCAATTTAATACTATAAATAATCTTCAGATGACACATATAGTTCTGTGTTTCAA